CTCAAGACTTGCATTCAAGAAGGTTCTACTCGACATGCGATGGCAAAAAATCCTTTATTGAGTAATTTGCACCTGAGAGGAGACGCGAGTGCCCGGAGAAAGCCCCGTGCATACAAAGGGGCAACACAAACACAATCCCTACGGATAGGTAAACAACCAATTTGCCGTATTACCACCGCTCGTACAGCGTTTGCCGACACGCTCCGACTCCACCACACGCCAACATTCATCCTCGTGCCGGCCACCCAGAAACCAAATTCGTATTCATTTAATAATATAATTCTTACCCCCTCCCCGCTCCCACTCCGCCTGCATCACGTGACCCGTCCGCCATCTCCACTCAGTGTATTAGTTTTCTGGGCTCGGTGCCCAGAGTTCTTTTTATGGTGCTTCTGCAACACTTGGTGTTTTTTTGGCAGGGTTTTCACCCTGTAGGCTAGGCTGGGATCTAGAAATTAATCCCATGTTTTCAGTAGGGGCACTAGCCTCAGTCAGTGCGGCTAACGCAGCCCCATTAGGCGCGTAAAAGTAAAATTTGAAATGGTTAGAAACAGTTAATTAATAACATTGCCGCTGGAGCGGAATACACTACGGTGGCTGGGCTCGCAGTGAGGTCCGTGCAGTGCGGAGCGTCTCTCAAATTCGGCGGTCCGTGTTTGTGCTTCCGCTGCACTCGATGGGGCGAGAAGTACGTTCGGTGTCGCGCTCTGCCGGCGCGGGAGCACGAGGGCAGGTCATGCGGAGGCTCCGGATTTGGCACCAAAAATCCACGGCCGTGCAAGATGACAGCGGTGGTGCCTGAGAGAGAGAGGCCACCATGCCCAGAAGAGGCAGGGAGAAGCGTGGCATGGGCTTCCCAATGCCACGGCTCCTCCGAAGGAGCGTTCCGGGGCCAATGGTAGGCAGCAGCAGCTGCTGCTGCTGCTGCTGCAGGCCCTGTGGCAGCGGCCGCGAGGCTGCAACAGCTTGGCCACGCATCACGCTGGGGTTAGCAGACAGGTCCCTGGGGTTAGCAGAGGGGTCCCTGGGGTTAGCAGAGGGGTCCCTGGGGTTAGCAGACGGGTCCCTGGGGTTAGCAGAGGGGTCCCTGGGGTTAGCAGAGGGGTCCCTGGGGTTAGCAGACGGGTCCCTGGGGTTAGCAGAGGGGTCCTTGGGGTTAGCAGAGGGGTCCCTGGGGTTAGCAGAGGGGTCCCTGGGGTTAGCAGAGGGGTCCCTGGGGTTAGCAGAGGAGTCCCGCGACACGCGGCAGTCTCGGTCGAGTTGGTTCCACGGACCAGGCTCCACGTGCGGTCACTGTGGTGGAGCTCGTGAGACAACTGGGACCCGCTGGAAGGCGACGTGTGTGACGATTAGTTCCGGTATCCCCGGTCCGCAGGGAAAGACCGATCGTGATGGTTGAGCTCCCCTCTACTGCATTGAGGAAACCCTTTGGGGGTTTTTCAAGGAGCAGATAATCCTACAAAACAGATGTCAGCGTTCTGGGCTTGGGGGGGGGGCGCCAAGCTGTTGGAGGAGTTGCCCTGCAGGGTTACAGGGACGAGAGCATCAACTCCTCTGGAGCTTAGGGCGATGGGGCGAGAGCCCTCTCATGCGACCTCTCGCCCGCATGAGAGAGGTCGTTACCACAGGGAAAGGGCGTGACGCCTTGACTGCGGTGGTGACGGTCGACGGAAGGCAGGGGGCCTCCCCCCCCCCCTCCTCAGATTCAACAAACGTAATGGGGAGCCATTCTTCTTCCTCGTCACCTGGGTAGGGGGGGGGAGAATGGCGTCTCGGCAGCTTGCGAGACCACCGGGGTGTGTCTGCAACCCTCCATTGTATGGCTCGGATAGAAATGTCACCGAGTCGAGATGGCGGATGGTCGGTGCACGTCAGTGCGGGCGGGTGGGGTGGGGGGCCTCCCGCTATTTTAATCGTTAAATGGATACGTTGTCGTTTTGAGCACGAGTTGGTACCAAGGATCAGTTGGAGATGTGGCCCTTTGCGTGGGACGGTCTCGGCGTGATCCACCAACCCCCCCCCCCAAAAAAAAAAAACCGAGACGTTGCTAAAAGTGGGCGTGAGAGCGACGGTAGCGGTGTGTCGTGCTCACCGCGTGTGCGTCAACCCTTCGGAGGAGATGTTTAGCGGGCAGCAGAGGTGTGAGGTTTGGTGAGGAGCAGGTGAAAGCCTCTCCATGTTGATCTGTCCCCGGTGCACTGGCCTCGTGCACGTTGCCACGAACATTCCAGAGATGACTCCGCTGTGTTGGGCTCTCTCGTGCAGCGCACAGTCCCTCGAATTTTCACCTTTTTGTTAAATCTTCAAAGCACAAAGTATCTCGCAAATTATGTTTTTGGTCGACATAAGCTTTTGATTTTGCACATTACAGTGCCTGTAAGGAGAGCGCATGAATAATTTAGATATGAATCTTAGTTTTGTACTAAACCTACAGCATTTAATTCAGAATTTGGCAAACAGTGTTTTTTTGTACAAAAACAGATTTTATTAAAATTGATTCTTTTAGCAACAGAGTACAGAATGTGATTTTAAGGGCACTTGGATGATGGCCAAAAAAATCATTACACATGCAGCAGAACATATGGCAAAGCTTTAACCTAAACATACATTTGAAAAAATCACATCGAATAATTATTTTGAAGCAATAATTATTTGAGTACATCAGGTATGTTGCCTCGTGCTTACTGAAAGCTTCCTTTAACCCTTCTGCATGCCCCTCAGCCTTTTGCTGCTGCGATGCTAAAACTGTGCCGGGACAATTGTTTATAAAGTCTCGGTCGGAGCCCCGGCTCTTGCGCAGCATCGAACTTTCTCAGCCGGCGCTGCGTCACAGCGGCCGGGTGGCCGCGAAGCAGCGGCCCGAAGGGGGAGACACGCCGAGATGACTCCTCCATCCTCCTGCCCGCCCTCGCGAGGCTCTCGGTGGCTGTGAGCGAGGGAGGGGTTAATAGCCTGTCGCTGTGGCTCAGGCAAGCAATTACATCTCCGACTTCCAGCCCCGTCAGTGCTCCCCACTCCGCAGCTTTGAAATCTATTTTTATTTACCAGCCGAATGTTTCCCACGCCCCTCGTGGAATCCCAGTACGCAGCACCCTCCGATAAACGCTGCCTCCCTACGCGCTCGCCCCCCCTCTCCGCGTCTCCTCCCCCGCCCCTCCTGGCCACACGTGCTGTTTTTAGTCATCGTCCATTTTTTTCCCCCTTCTCCTAGTTGCGATTGTTAATTTAAGCCTTTTTATTTTTAGCCGGAGTGCGCAATCAACGCGCATCCTCGTGCATATTTTTTTGCGCCCTTTTAACCGTTTCGGCAGCCGCGGCGACCTCGCGATATCAAAATAAGTGGGGTAAATCGACCGTAAGACTGAGTGGTGCTTCGCGGTAAAAGATACCAAATTAAAAAAATGTTATGAAAATATATTAAACGAAGCCTTGCTATTTGAGTTCAATGGCAGTCTGTGCCACATTCTGTTGCCCCATTATGTAAGGACACCGTAGCTGAGCTCAACTCTGTGGCTGGATTACGGTTGCCTTACAGTTGAGTCACATGTTTAAGGATAAATGGGTTCTCGTGAGCTAAAAGCGCTCGATCTGCTGGAGCAACTTATGCCTCGTATTGTTCCCAGAGCTTGATTAAAATCGATGGTTAAACAATAATTTAAGGGAACGCTCTAAATTTTTGTGGCAACAGGCGAGGAGATGTGTAATTAATAAAGCTCGCCCCAACGGCGTTCACATCGTTTTTCCACTTGTCGCCTGTGTACCGGGTTGTCGGCTGCCAACGCTCGCTAACCCAAATACCCGAGGAGGCCAAATCGTCCACCTTTCTTGACAAATGTTTGACAAATGTCACTCGTACGCGAGTCTATAAATATGGCCTACGTGTTTGGTTCAGCAAAGCCTTTTGGCGAGGCGTCGCGGCATTCGTTTCGAGCGCGCCTTGTTCGTGTGGCATTTCAGTCTGCGTTTGTATCCACCCTTTATTAAACGTCGCTCTCGGAATGCTCGCGAAGCTGCCGCGTGGTTTGCGGGGCGGGGGGTTTGCCAGCGTGTGGAGAGGCGAGAGAGAGGAGGGGGTGGGAGTTGGAGAGAGTTTCACGTCCTCTGGAAGACACGACCACGTGGGTGGTCGCGGGTACTTTAGATGGGGGGGGATTGGGGGGGGACTCACGATTTTCACGAACCCCCCTCCCCAACTCTCCCCTTCCCCATGAAGCCGTTGGCAGCGTCGTTCATACGTTTAGAATAGCCGCTTTCGGACCAGCAGAAATAGCTTCGATGTATTTATTTTAAAGCGGAACTGTCACACGGCTGCCCGAAACAAATACTTTGTTGAACCAGAGCCACGCTTTGCTCGACGCATTGCGAGCGTGAGATCTGTCTGGGCCAAAATGCCACAATCAGCTTTAATTGCCGTGGCCCGTCAAGGCCCGTTCCAAGAAAATCGTAATTTTAGCTACGGTGGAAATAGGTGCGCGTTATGCACCATTAGCATCGTTTTCAGATTCGTAAATACAGCAGTGCTGTTGCACGTCCAACCCGGTTGGATTAATGTGCGCATGGCTTAAAATTCTTCTCACTTTACCACCCACAAATAAAAATATTAAACGTGCCTCAATTCATCTGTACCCATTGCACTGCTCTTAATCGTATTAACAGCACGATATTAAATAGCTTTTGGAGTTGCCTTTAATTCGGGCCGTCCCAGTTAACCCCCACTGCTAACAGCCGTGTCCTCCTGGGATGCAAGACGGATTACCCCTCCCAGCCCTCGGCTCTCCGGCGGAACGTTAGGGCCCTTGACGAGTCGGGCAACTGATGGATGTTCGGCAGAGGCTGCAGCTCGATGTTTGTTCACACTGTGGCGATGGTGCTGAAGGCTGCCGTTTGACACCTGTTGTGAGCTCGTGCGTGTCTCTCACCCTTTTCCCTCGCCCCCTCTCCCCTCTCCACCCTCTCCACCCTCTCCACCCTCTCCACCCTCTCCCCTCGCCACCACACAGGCGGTGAGCAGCAAGGAGCAGCACAGCATCTCGTACACGCTGTCACGCAACCACACCGTCGTGGTGGAGTACACGCACGACGCCGACACCGACATGTTCCAGGTGATTGCACCCCCGCCAACACCGCCACCGCAAAGATCCCCCGTGCAGGCTACGTTGACTGTTGGCGCAAGGGGGTTAGTGTAGCCAGTTGCACGGCGGGCGTCGTAGGCTCCCCATCGCTGTGCGTTTAAACACCGCATCAGGTAATTATACAAGACTGAGTCGACCTGTTCTGATATAATTCGTGACTAATGCTCTCTATGGCTGTGAATCGACTGCAGACCGCCAGGTTCATAGCGCAGTTTGGCTAACCCCTACACACTACCACTATAAATACAGAGATCATCCCCCTTACAGCCTTAACAGACTGTAGGGGCAAGTGATGTTAGTGAGCACCAATGAAGGCCAGAACGGCACACGTGGGGGTGGGTGGCCAACACCACGCCCAACCGCATTTGTCTCCCCAGTGGCGATGATTACACACCACACCAGGTCCTCATTTGAGGCTGAGTCAGGGGAGGCCCACGACCGTTTCAAATAATCGTCACTGGTGTTGGTCGTGAGCGGGAATCGAACTCGGGTTGCCGGGTTCATAGCGCAGCGTAGCGCTAACCGCTACACTACCGCTCCCCACACGAGCACAACGCACACACGCGCACACATGCGCACGGCCTCAATGTGCGGTTCGTGACCTATGACCCAACACAGGCTGTTTTAACAGCACACACTTTGGCCCCCGCCTGTAGCTGCTAACATTAACTTCTAACGCACGTGTGGCATGCACCCGCTTGTAACGGAGAGAGCATTGGAGGTCGGGTCATTGGATCATGTGGAGATCGTGTTCTGCAATACCCAGTGGACTGCTAGGTAGCCAGGAGAAATGCAGTACAGAAAGTGGGTTTCTGATCCATCTGTGTGTGCGTGTTGAGTGTTCTCTCCGTAAGTGTGAGGTTTTTCTCCCCCGAAACTAAGGTTTATTCCCACATGCAAAACACTCACGAAGGACCGGCCAAGCTTCCGAATGCAGAGCTCTCCTGTGTGTTTATGAGTCTTAATTAGATAACCTGTCACTATCATTAAAACAAAAGGCGTTTGCAAGGACATTATATAACCCCGAGTGGTCATTCAGTCGAGAAACCGTTAGCCCCTAATTCAAACGAATAACCTTGACTCGCAAACTGTAACCCTTGACTGCAGCCGTAATCCGGCAGCGCCGAGCCGTTCACTTTAGCCTCTCACTCTTAACCGTAGCCCTCGGCGTCGACTCCCAGTCGGGGCTGGAGGCCACCTGTTCCGCCGACACGGGTGCCACCCACAGCGACTGGCACCCATCGCGCCGCTCAGAAATGCCGCAGGGCCCCGCCGGCGGCGCGGAGGCGTTGTTTACGGTGCGCCGCGCTCACCGCCGTCCCGGTGTTACGTGCGCTCCCAACAACGCGGCCATTCGCTGCCTCGCGCGCACGCAGCTCGACTCGGCGGACGTTGCAACTCAAAACAAACAAACAAACAGCCCCTTGCAGAGAAGCACCCAGGCTGTGCGTCCTACGCTGAGCGGGCAGCTTTGTTCTTGAAAAAATACTTTTTCCTACATTCATTGGCGGGAACCCACGTCATTCGTGTGACGGTAGCCGCGGGTGCCAACGTGAATTACGAGAAGAAGCGCCTTTTATACGGCGAGAATTTTTTTATTGAGAATCGGCAGTGCGTCACTGCAGTGCCACGATGTCACCGTTATATCAACGAGAAACGGCCATGACGTGACGAGGGAGCGCCGTCTTCCGGTGACGCGAATGTCTTTCAGTGATCTCCGTCGGAGAAGCCTGGGTCGCACGGCCTAGGTGTGCGTCTGCAAAGTAAGAACCGTTGGCTCTGCGGGGTCGTGGCTGTCTTCGCCCGAAGGCCCGGCACAAGTGCATCGGCGGCGAGAGTCAATGACTTTCGGCAATGGCAATCGGCTCTGGCAAGCGATGGACGCAAACATTGACGGTGCCGGGCGACAGGGCTGAGAGCCGCGATGCCCAAACCCGTGCCGAGCTTTGTCGCTCGGATCGCTCGTGTGACGTTGAAAATCAATGCAACGTTAGTCGTATGGAACTTGGCACCAGAGCGGTGGGGGAGGGGGGGGGGGTGCATTTGCTAAACTTTTCAACGTGAGCCCCTTCCATTCGTTAGGCAGAATTTTCTAATTTTAATTTAATGATTGTGTTGTTAAAAAAAAAACCCGAAATTAAATATTTGTGGCTCACGAGGAGCAATCAGGACGTCCGCAAATCCACAACAACTGTGTGTTGCCCTGGGCTGCGCATTAACATCGTAAATGCTCGCTGCCTTTTCCTCACAAGAATGTGTAGCCCTGTGCTGTGAGCGTCTTTTGCAGCACATCATTAAAAAGTAAAAAAACATACTGCACACTGTATGTTGTGCATGTGCGCACACTTTATAACTGCTGCGTGTTGTACTTAAAACGACGTTTGCAGCTGGCATTAATAATTTGTGCGCTGGCAACTGTGCGAATGTAGTCAATTAAATCCGTTGCAAGAATAACGGCGGTTGTTGTCAAAATGGGGAAAGAACACGAGGCAGCCGAGTTGCACTGCACCGCTGATACACTGCTTTTGACTATCAGGATCTGTGAATGTGTTTGGTTCTAGTATATACACTTGACCACCACGTTTGTGGGGCGTGCATTTTTCCCTCTGGCTGCCGCTCGGGCTGACTGTGGTTGAGAATTGCCGCCGTATAGGAGCGGTCCCACGATGGATTCGATTTGCCGCCTCGACATTTGATCGTGGACCCCACGTGAAGTCAACCCCCACGGTGTTGTTGCGGCCTTTGGAGACCTGAATAACGATTCCGTTATTTTTTTCCTCAGCTCAACGAAACATAGATTTTAGAAAAATCTGTTCGCAGGATTACGCTTTTTTTTTTTCTGGGGCCGCTGTGCAGCGTGAGGGATTTAAAAAAAAAACGTTTTGGTAACATCGCTTGCTCTCGTCATCGTTAGCCCGTGACACATTCTCAGAGTTTGTGCACACACGGCGTGGACCCTTACGCAGTCCTTTGATTCATTATTTAAACATCGATTAATCTGATGGCACGCTCGTTTTTTAAGTGTGTGTGTGTGGAATTTGAACCAGTATTCTTCAGGTCTGGTGTGGCAGTAGTTCATGTTATTTTATATTTTTTACCCTGTGGCATTCCAGCTAGCTCCTTGTGAAGCTGGTTCTTGTTCGTAGGCTGCCGGTGGCTTGCCAAAAGAGCCGTGGGAATTCCCCTGCAAAGCCACCGCCATCCCCGGCACATTGTGCGCGTGCCTCCTGCGGCAGGGAGACCGGCCCCCTGATGGAATCGGCTCCGACGTGACGGACAGCCGATCGATAACCACGCGCGGGCGACGATGGCTTTCGCTCGCAAACGCGATGCGAATTCTTTCGATTTCTGCGGCGTGCTTCCAGGGAGGATGCCCGTGAATCATTGCAACTGCGGGTTTGCCCTGTAATCAGACACCATTTCCACGGTCGAGTACCGTGTCGCGGCTCTCCAGTGCACGCGTTCCTGCCGCCCGCCCGCCTCTTTGGAATCTCGCGACCGCAGATCCTAGGCCATCTCATTGGCAGGGGCCTGCGGACGGACAATTCCGGTGACCTCCTGCGATTTGGAACAATTCCACGGGTGCTTTTTTGGTTTTCAACTCAGCTGCCCATGCCAAGCGATTGTATGGGGAAATGGCGCGTGCCTCAACCAGGAGAGTGTTGCTCAGAGAGCCCGGTGGCGATTGCGGTGCATTTTAGAGGACGTCTATAGTTATCCGAGCAGGGTTGCATGGCTGATTTCAATTTGCAAATTGCTGGCCTCATTTCCAAAACGTGTTTTGGATCTCACAATCTGGCATGCTGGGGATTTGGCTTCGCACGCCACACCGCTTTGTCTACCTCGTCGTTGTGTTTCTGCGCGAGCGCTGCGAAGCGTTATCTTGTTTTCCATGAAAAGTCGATTTGAGAATGCAGAAGAGATCCGCCTTAAAATTCAGGCGCAGTTCCCCGTTCCTCGAGCGTGCCGCCGGTGTTCAGAAAATGGAATTGTGCTTTTTCTGCTTTGAAGTGTTTTTTAACGAGATAGCGGCGTTTTGGCAGTTACAAAGCACCCTTATTGTCTGTTCCACAAAAGTAGGCTGTTATTTTATTCTTGGTTATTGCCATAAATAACAGTAAACTGCTGGAACAATGCAGCCGCAATTTTTCCTTGTCCTCCTCCTCTCCACCCGCAAACATAATCTTCCTATTTCATAGATTTTATTTACTCCTTTGCCTTTCATGACTTGTATAGCATTGTTGCCCCCTCTCATTTTGTGCCGGTCTCTCAATTTCAGAAACAGGTCGGTGCTGTTGCACACATTATTCCGCACCCTTGGCGCGTGCTTCACACGCCCGCAATTACGTGTCGGGCGTACGCACACACACGCGCGCGTACGTAGTTTGCAGGCTCCCTGTAAAATTGTGCAATTTTTTCACTGGTCGGAGCACCGTGCCGAGACTTCACCGACGCGATTCGTGCGTCAGACCTCGTGGAGGGCGGCGCGAGGTGCTGTCAGGGCCCCCACGTCCCCCACACCTCCCACGGCCCCCACTCGTGCCCTTTTCACTCTCCCTTCGCTCGACCCGCCACAGTGCCTTTGCTACAAAAGTGCCATTTTTACAGCCGGCGGATTCACGTTTGTAAAAAAAAACGCATTTACATTTAGAGGAGTCAAACTTGGGCTGTTTCCGCACAAACTTTAAAAATTATGCGTTCCGGTTTCCCGAACCGATGGCTTGCCAGGCCCGCGACCACCGCGCGCTCCTCTTCATGCCTTCGTTTGCCAGCCGCAGACGACGCCCGGTGACGCGCACCCCAGGCCGCCCCAGCGCAAATCTCACTTCCGTTTGCCTCCGCCACACCGGCTCTGAAATAAATGGAGGCAGCGTTTTACAGAATTCATCATCAAAAAACACGGCCCTTTGAGACTGTATTTTTTCGTGGAAATATGAGGGGGGAGAATAAGTTGTGTAAAAAAAAAAAACCCCGACACGTTGCTGGCATGCAGGTTGCGTGCAGGTAAAAGCTCGCTACGTTGCGTGCGGTCTATTGTTTTGGGAGCTTGGTGTTTGTCAGTGTCGGAGGACGGTGGCATGAGCCCATCATTTTATTGTTGCGTTCGCGCGTGGGGTGTGGGGAGGTGCCGGAGAGTGCGGTTCACTTTAGCGGCGTGACGACGAAACCGGGTCGTCGATTAAAATAGTTTCTTGTGCCCGTGATAAATGCATCGAATCACGCACGTGGCGTTTTATTATTCACAATAGTTGTATAGTTGTGTTAGGGCGCGCCGTAACGTTGGCAAATAATAGCTTCTGGAACGGAATCACGACAGCGGATCGTGAGAATTAACTCGCAAGGGGCCGAATCGTTGCAGGTCTACTGTGCGTGCATTTTATTTCTCCGTTTTCGAAAACAAGGCGTGCAAAAGTAACGTGAAAAGCAGTCGTCTGCAGTCAAGTTCTAGTTGAACGCTGATAGCTGTAGTTTTATTTTGTTGGTCGTGGGGGGGAAGGGGGAGCGGAGACAGTGGTGTCGTGCCTCTCACGGCTTTCGAGTTGAGCCCTTCACACGCGTGTATATTTATTTATTTATTTATTGTTTCCATCTTCTATCAAAGCGATCATTTGGTACTTCTCTTTGGAGTGTGCCGCGTAGGTGCGCGCTCCGTCAGCTTCGCGTTCTCCTCTTTGTTGCCCCACGTGCGCCACATCTTTCACTCGGTGCCATTCGCGTGCTTGAGTTTTTGGCCTCTTAGCCTATTTGGGGAGGGTGTGGGGAGGCTGTCAACCCTTTGGATCCCATGAGCGACCTGGCTGGCTGCGCCGCGCTTGCGCTTGGCTTGGTCGTGGTGACGACGCCGCCCGTTGTTCCCGCGGTGCAGCCACTTGCTCCACGCCCGAGATCAAACGGGCAGCAGCCGCAGCAGCAGCATCAACAGCGCTGAAACCATGCCACGAAGGGCCCCCGGCAGTGCTTGCTGTCTGCGAGCGGGCGTCGTGGCACGCGCCTGATGAACACGCGGCCTTTATGCGGCGTAATCAATCATGTAAATAGTTAATAGCGTCATCCCTTACACTGCTCGCGTGTGTGTGTATATATATGAGCGTGGGCTTCACAAGCTAATGGATTAGGCGAGTAACCCTCTCGCTTGACGTCAAAATTTCCACCAGCGGCAACATCCGCGGCGTGCCACGCAAAATCGGACAATGTGGGTTTTGTGCCCTGGTGATGTCATGGCTCGTCTTGGTTTCACTCGCACATACACAAAGGTCCCTCGCTTATCCATTCAGACCGTTGTGGTAGTTGCTGTTCGCGAGTAACGAGTGGGCGACGAGCACGACGCCACAGTTCTGATGTTTACTCGGTGTTCAATTTGACCATTCATCTTTTGAGGCACATATATCTAAGGTGGTTAAAATGTCCTTTTTCCACTTAAGAAATAATGGCAGAATGCATCACTTCTGGTCACCTGCTGACTTGGAGAGACTGGTCCATGCTTTTGTGTTATCCCGACTCGACCACTGCCACGCCTCACTGGTTGAGATTCCAAGCAAAGTACTGGGCAGACTCCAGCTTGTTCAGAATGCAACTGCTAGAGTGCTCACACCTCGTACAGCATTAACGTGAGCACATTCCACCAGTGCTCTTATCCCTGCTATTAACCTATACGGTTTTTAAAGGGGCTCACCTCATATTACTTGCATAATGCATTTATATATTCCATCAAGGTCCTTAAGATCTTCTGATCTCCAACTGCTCAGAACTCCCAGGTCTATAGGTTTGCACTCTTTTGGTGGTCGGGCACCCAAGCTATGGAACTCCTTGCCACTTGAAATCAGGCGATCAGTCAGTAGATATGTCTGCTTTGAAAACTCCATCTCTTTAAAATGGCCTTGCCTCTTTAGTTTGGTCGATTGCCCTGCTGGTTCTGTTTTTGTTTTCTGCTTTCCATGCATTGTGCATTGGGATCCTAGAATGGAATGTGCATTATACATTTGAAGTATTATTACACTTTAAGGCGCAGTCAAGCTACTAGGGTGGGTCCAGGACAGGTTCCCATACTTTGATTCCAGTGATAATATCCACGTTTGGGAATTTAACTCATCGAAATGGGTTCGCAGCGGACTCATCCATCGCACCACCGTTCCTTAAAATACACGCACACACACGCACTCATCTTCCCACACATTCACGCGCACGCACACACGCACACACATGCAGAGCTATTGTTTACTGCGTCAAAGACCGGACGCGCGTAGCCGTTTCCCCGCGTTGAGCTCACCGGGTCTGCTGGAGCCGCCAGGGCCCTTGAGTGCTGCACGGCCGCAGCATCACGCTTGGGTCATCCTGCAACTTTTGCAGTCCAGTTTGGTTTCAAGTAGCTAGACATCATATTCAATTAGTCGCTCCAAAAACCGCACAAAACACATTGCATTTTTGCAATGACCTTGGCGAACGTTGTATCACATTTACTCTTAAGAATGTTTATTTCTCTCGAAATATATATTTTTACAGGGTAACACTGGTGCTGACGTCGTTTTCCCCAGAAAAAAATGCCCCATAGAGCCACTGGCAGGAGTGTCCTGCGTTGGCATATTTGTCCAATTCTCGGTTTAGGGTTTGTGTTAATGCGGCGCTTGCAGAATGCCGCCACGGAACGCGGTGAGAACGCGTGTGTGCGTGCGTGTGCCCGTTAACAGGAATTGAGGTGTTACTTCCTCCTCCTTCACAGGCGTGGGCGCTGCGTGAGAATGTGAAGTGCCACCTGAGTTGCCACAACCACCGCAGTCCTTGCGCACAGTGCGTCGCGCGCCGGCCCTGCGCTACGCATGGGGGACCACGCGAGGCTCTTGCGAGATTTCTTTGCACAGATGTACGATTGAGGCGCGCGGGAGAGCGAGTGGCTCGGGAGACGCGTGCAGAGAGGATGATGGCCTCCCCACATCGTGTGGCTCGTGGCTGGTTATTTGGCCATACTTCACCCGGCTGGCCGGTGAGGGTTGGTAAAGGCGAGGAGCGTTGGTGTGTGGAAGAATTAACAGTACAGTACACAAATAGATTTTGCTGCACTGTCCTATGATTTACTACCCACAGCGCGGCAGCCTACGGCACCTGTTTGATGCACGGCGGTCGCCCATCCAAGCACTATCCAGGCTCAAACCTGCTTAGCTTCCGACGAGCGACATTTCCGCGCTCGCTGTCCGGCGTACGCCACCGCACGCGTGCGTGTCGTGCGTCGCGCGTTACGCGTCCTAACCTGCGCGCGTGCTCCGTCCGCGCGTGCCCGTGGTGCAGATTGGCCGCTCGACCGAGAGCCCGATTGATTTTGTGGTGATGGACACGGTGCCGGGCAGCCAGAGCAGCGACGAGACGCAGATCACGCAGAGCACCATCTCGCGCTTCGCCTGCCGCATCAAGTGCCAGCGCACGGCGCCCTACACGGCGCGCATCTTCGCCGCGGGCTTTGACACCTCCAAGAACATCTTCCTGGGCGTGCGTTACCGCTCCGGCCTTCTCGGCCTTCACCCCCGCCGCCACCTTGCGGTTGGGACGTCGTCGGGGGGCTGCCACTTTTGCCCGCCGGCTCTTCGCCCGAGAAATAAAAACGCTTTACTAAAAATAGACGATGCTGTGGCAAACCCCACCGACGATCGCCGGTGCAAAGATGCCTACGATGCAGATTTGGGCGCTCGACGTCGCGAATTAGACTGCACGATGATGTACGCCCGGCGATGAATCTTGATCGCGAAAGGATTACGTCGTTAAGCAAACATCATAATTGTGTAAAGTTGGATCGAAAGCCATTCAGGTTTTTCAAACGTTTAAAGAAATGAGAGCGTTACTTTTAAATAATTCAAGTCAAACACTGGGAGTTTTGTTGTCCAGATGTGCACGTGGCACGCGCTGAGACTCGGCACGCATTCTTGATGCTAATCTGCGTGGGCTGATACAGTGCTGGGCTCGCTGCTGTGTCCGGACAAGAGATACTGCCAACAATCGGGGCCCTCTTCCCAATCCCCCATCACCTCCCCCTCAACTACTCCCCCCCTCCCCACAGCCACACTCAGGAATGTTACATAAATGAACCTTTATGCCAGCCCCATACATGCAAATCAAGCCGCTGTCCAATTATGTAGTCTGTAAGCCAACGTGTTTTAATTTATGGACCGCATAGTTTATGAATGAAAACATGATTTTCGTACAATTGATGACTTGGCATGATTACAGCCTACGTGGCAGTTTATCCTTGTAATTCTGGTGAGCTCCCAAAGTACAGACAATGCATATCCACGTGTAAAGACGTGTGAAAGGTACGTTGATTTGTTTAACCAGTGTTTCTCAGAATAGCATTGTCTCATCACAGCACCGATAGTTTTCATGGATTCTTGACTCACACCAGTCTTGTAGTTTGCGTGTAGAGGGATTGTAGTCGGCGCTATGGAGAGCAGCACAAGGTTAACAAATCCGCCGCAGAAACTGCGTTCACTCTCGTCAACAAAACGTAACCGCTTCTAAAATCACATCACGACGATTCAGCCAATGGTGAGGAGGAAGAATCACTGCACACACCACCTCGTTTGTGACCGTGCGTGCACGTGTGTGTGTGCGCGTGTGTACATGCGTGTACATGTGTGTGCGTGCACGTGTACATGTGTGTCCGCGTGTGTGCGCGTGTGTTTTTTACCTGTGCATGTGTGTCCGTGTGTGTACGCCCGCGCCCATTTCTTGTGCAGGAGAAGGCGGCCAAGTGGAAGAACCCGGACGGCCACATGGACGGCCTTACCACCAACGGCATCCTGGTGATGCACCCTCGCGGCGGCTTCACCGACGAGTCTCGCCCCGGCGTGTGGCGCGAGATCTCCGTGTGCGGCAACGTGTACACGCTGCGCGAGACGCGCTCTGCTCAGCAGCGCGGCAAGCTGGTGAGTGGAGCGCCGGCAAGCGCGCGTGCATGCCTGCAAACCCACGAACCTACGAACCTGGCGACCCGAGTTCGATTCCCGCTCATGGCCAACACCGGTGACGAATATCTGAACTGGTCCCGGGCAACCCCTAGGTCTACTCGGCCTCAAATGGTGCGGTGTGTAAACATCGTTATTGGGGAGACAAAGGGGGCCGGACTTGATGCCGGCTACCCCACCCCCTCGTGTGCCGTGCCGGCCTTAATAGGTGCTACTCGCTAACAGCACTTGCCCCAAGAGTCGGTTAAGGCTACACAGGATCTTTGTCTTTGTTTTGAACTGCTTTCACGCACCGTACGTAGCCATCAGCGCTAGCCAGAGGTGCAGGGAAGGGGACAGCAAAGTAAACAACAAAGTAAACAACAATAACAAGCAGCTCTCAAGAAATGAATTTTCAATCTAGATTCTTAAACAGTGCACGGCTCTAGCGGTTTCCTAATATCGGAAGAGCGTTCCAGACGGCCACAGAAGCGCGTCTGAAAGCGCCCGATGCGTTGACCGTCTTGGTTCGATGGCCAGCCAAAAGCTGCTGCTGCAAAGGGTGACCGGAGTTTGCGTGGTTGATGGTGCATGCCCCTTGACGAGCACAGCGAGGTATCGTGGTTCATGTGTGGCGTGCACTGTGTGTGTAATGAGCGTGACGGCTGCACGTGCCTGCGTGTGTGCGTGCGTGGGCACTTGCAGCGGGGAAGCAATCGCAGCAATTGTGTTTTTAATTCCGCGCGGTGTACATGGAGGCGGTTCCCGTGTTGTTCCTCGCATGGAACGACACCAAGTCGTACGACGAGCGGTTTAACACTCGCTCCCGATTTCCATCCTGCACAATTGGAGTTGAATTCATTCCAATGTAATTCTTGTTACGTTTTAATCGGCATGAAATTTAATTCAGAATAATCTAACTATGTTTGGCTGAGTCAAACTATGTTGGGCAGCAATATCACAATTAAGAGTTGAATTCTTTCCAATGTCGTTTTTTTGGTGTAAATTTTTATTCGCAAAGGGAGTGGGAATTTTCCAATGATAAGGTCACCATCTGCGTGATGCTCATTAGCAGTAAAGTTCAAGGCACTGGAGAGAGAATCAAATTGACCCAGGGCGAGAGGGAAAATTAACTTCGATGTCAGAGAAAAGAGCAGGGGGTAGCTAGGGTGTGCGTGTGAGCATGCGCGCGACAGGTGAATGTAAAACGTAGCTAAAGAAAATACCAATGTCTCGTGAATTAATTTATTGCACTTATAAAAAGTAGGTTTATTTTTTACGACTGTGCATTTTGTAATCTCTCGGCTGTAAATAACCCACAAGACGAACGACAACGCTCCGTTACTCACGCAACACTCTACCGCAAGCCCCGAGTCCTTGAGGCTTCTCGTCCCCCCACACACACAAACGTCACGCCCGCGTGACCTCCCTGAACACCCAGTCTCCTTACCTGCCCGCCCAGCGCAACGCAGCCGTTACATTCTGACACTTTTTCATTACAGTGCCTATTGAATACAAGTCAAGTATCGATTTGCCGCACACTATAAACAGCCCAAGTGCAGCGGTAGTGCCGGCCAGAGCAATTTTAAATGTGCTGGCTAGTTACAGAACTCAGTTGCTGCCACCGCCCCCCCCCCCCCTTCTCTGCCTGCCCTTGATAAATAGTACCACTTTTGTGAAGCGGAGGCCTCGCTCAAAAAACACCGCTCGCTCTGCACACACACGCATCGGGGGGCAGTGGTCGTCGCTGCTGCCCGAAGATTATTCTTCCCTTTTTAGTTTTACAGCCGGTGCTGCTGACTGCAGGATCAATCGGCCTTGGGATAATGGCCGTAGTGGCAGGGTTGAGAATGATTTATGAATATTGCTCCAAAGTGGCCGGCCACTTGACATTTTTAACGGCCGCTGTAAGTTTTATAAGACGGAGAATTACCGATGTACACCTTCCATTACTTTATCTTTAGTGTTGTGAAGAGCTTTTGATTGAGGCTCTGTGTGCCCGGCTGAAGTTGTGTGGGGGGCGGTAGGGGTGGCGTGAACGTGGTCAGCACTGGATTCTCTCAAGCCGCCATTGGTATCGCTAACAAACCGCAGATCCATCGGCCGGAGCTGATTAGTGCTGGTTCATGCGCGTGCCTCTTTTAATATTTTTACAGGCATGAATAAAGGGTGCTTGTGGTGGGGTAGAGTCAAATCAAAGAGGCAAATGGGGCGGGCGGGCGGGCTGTCGGTCCTGGTCAGGAGAGCCGACAGGATGCGATGGAGAGGCAGATGGTGGTCAGCGCAGCCCAAGCGGTGCCCCCACTTACAGGCAGCGGCGCGCACCCAGCCAGCCGTGTAAATTGCCGGCCACCGAGGTAACGAAATTAAGAGTTTACAGCGCTGTTGAAGGCAGCCAATGTTGCCAGATTACGACTTATTCCTTCGCTGAAAGTGGCAGCTCGCTGGCCCGTGGCAGTTCTCAGTGCTGGCCTTTTCAGCAGCCATAAAAAAAACCCGCGCACACACAAACTGCTTGCTGCTTTTTCAAGTGCGTGAAAAAAACTGCGCTTTGTGTTGCTGCGAACGGACGCAGGAAGGCACTCGGAGCGACCGGCGGGCGCATTTACGTGGCGGGTAACAAAGGTGGTGGGGCGCGTCTGTGACCATTTTGACGTTTTTGTTGGGGGGGGGGGGGGAAAGGGGGAGCATGAACTGCCAGGGAGACTTGGCAGCGCGAGTTCGCCTTCAATAGAACGGCAAGGAAGCTTCGGCGTGCTCTCGTGGCAAGCGAGCACGACGTGAAGCAGCTTGGCGGTTCCAGAGACAGATGAGACGTTGAATCTGGATTTGAAGTTTTCGTGACTGCAGGGATCCATACTCTTTGGTTCTTTTGGTAAAGTCACGTAGTAGGTATAAAATACAGTAAATTAAATCACGACGTTTCGTTTGCAACACAAGCAATCATCATCACTCGGTGGGAAAACCAAAGCAATAATTTTTTTTTATGATGAGAGGTTGTTTCCAATCACCTTTGTTATAATATATATTTTTTGCAGGTGGGGTGCTGCACGGTTTTACCGTGGCTCTCGCGGCGGTTGGGCCGGGGCTTAGCGGCTCGGGCCGGTAGTGATGGCAGCGCTAACCGGGGGGAGGGGACAGGGGGACCCCCTGCCTATTGACATTCAAAGCCTTGTCGAGCCTGGCGAGGCATCAATATCGGACGGAGAATAACGTGCTTTTTTATGAAAATAATTGGTTTCTCCCTGTGATGCTGGAACGATTTAATTTGTGCGAGTGTGTACGGGAGACGCTAGATGTGGCTTGCATAAGAATTGACATTTTCTGCAGCCTGCAGGATTGCCCATTGCTGTGTAATTGCATTAGCAAATCTGTAATCGCGCACACATTTGTAATTACCCACTTACGCTGGAACGTGTTTTCTCCCCCTCCCTGCTCACCTTCTCCCCCTATGAATCAGCAGTGTTACCAACGACGACCGTTTAGGCCTTTAAACTGGAGCACGGCTACCATAGATGGGTCAGAACACTTGGTGACAACTAGCTTGCGTTTACAGCTGCAAGCAGGTTTCAGCATTGCTGAATAAGAGAGAACTGCTTGTTTAGAGATTAAGAACAGTGGTGTCATCACAGCAGGGAGCAGCCCTTGAAGTGAGCCGCTGCATTTTCAACCACCAGTCTCGAGTGAGAACATTGATGTTCAAGTTCTGTGATCAGGAAGCTGATCATGTGACCGCAAGCCACCAGGAACGACGCTGCCACTTGCACACAAAACGCGGAGCGTGCCGTTTGCCTGGATGTGCGATGGAGCGGCAGACATCAACGCAAACCCAGATGACATATTTGCGTGCATTACCCTGGGTCAGAAATTAAGTGAACATGAACATCAGAGATTTAGTGGCAGATAACACGAACATTTTTACTCCCAACAGCGAAGTGTCAAAGTAATGTGGGCACAGAGCGTTCACGCATCGTCACACCGCATGATGGCCTAGCGTTCCTTTGCAACAGGGACCACGCTTTCCCATGGCACATCGTGCTCGCCCTCCAGTAGGGCACTCGCCCCTCGGCAGTACAGGGTGGCGGCTCACACCGGGCGCGTGCGTGCGCCCCGCAGGTGGAGGGCGAGAGCAACGTGCTGCAGGACGGCTCGCTCATCGACCTGTGCGGCGCCACGCTGCTGTGGCGCACGGCCGAGGGCCTCTTCCACACGCCGACGTCGCGCCACATCGAGGCGCTGCGCCAGGAGATCAACGCGGCGCGGCCGCAGTGCCCCGTCGGCCTCAACACGCTCGCCTTCCCGAGCCTGCGCCCGCGCGCCGCGTCCTCCGCCGCCGGGGCCGCGGCCGCCGCCGTCGTCGCGGCCGGCGCCGAGGAGAAGCAGCCGTGGGCGTACCTGCGCTGCGGCCACGTGCACGGCCACCACGACTGGGGTCACCGCACGGCGGGCGACGCCGACGCGCGCGAGTGCCCGATGTGCCGCACCGTGGGGCCCTACGTGGCGCTGTGGCTGGGCTGCGAGCCGGGCTTCTACCTGGACGCCGGCGCGCCCACGCACGCGCTCACGCCCTGCGGCCACGTGTGCTCCGAGAAGACGGCGCGCTACTGGGCGCAGATCCCGCTGCCGCACGGCACGCACGCCTTCCACACGGCGTGCCCGTTCTGCGCCACGCAGCTGTCGGGGGAGCCGGGCTACGTGCGGCTCATCTTCCAGGGCCCCGTCGACTGACCCGGCTGCAGACACCACCCCAGCTCGTCGCCGTGGCCCTGCCGTGGCCGGCGGTGGCAGCTGAACTTGCTGGATGAGTCGGACTAAGGGACCTCGCACAAAGAGGCAAGAGGTGGATTTTAAATACACTGGACCAAGCCAAGGATGGGTACCAAAACCGAAGATGAGGCGTGCACACGCCCAGACTTAAATATTCCGACGTGACCGCATTAGTTGTGTGTTGTATTGGTTTTGAATCGAATGTTTTTAAGTTTAGTTTGGAGAAGTCACCTGTTCATTTTAATTAAATTTGACATTGATGGACAGTATTTGTGACTAAAGGGTGATCGGTGCATGCTTTCTAGCGTAACCTAACATCTCGGAACTAGCACATGCCCCTTTTCATACTGCAATTCTTCCACCACTGGATGACTAAGGTCGTAAGGATCCCATCCCTGTAACTGCTTTGCCAGAAAGGAGGGGAGGCCCAAGCCCTGAGTTTATACTGCGCGGGTGCCACATTGGTTGTCTTATCAGAGAATGCTGGAGATATTTTTGTACAACATCCTTTGGTCTTCTGCAGCCTGGACACATGCATGAGAACCGCGGGTGTCATGTACCCAGGCGGCAGGGGTCAGGGGCGGTCAATGAGGGGGTTTGCCAGTTGTGTAAATAAGGAGGTACTGGGACGTGTGGACAAAACAGCCCTCAGCTCAGATGTACAGTTATAAGCTGTCGTTTAAACTCAAGCATGCAAGTGCCCATCAAATGCTGCTCCCTTTCATTGGTGGGTAATGTACTGTAGAATGATTTAAGGTCTGACGACTACTTAACTTTGATAGCATCTGAACTTTTAATCAATAACATCAGATAGGAAGACCATTTTCCTTCTGCTAGACCAAATAAAGACATCACTGCTTGCCGACAGCCTTCTCCCGTTGCCTGAGTCATTAAATATGCAACAAACCGCGGCATTTGAAACCCTGAAAATGTTGATTTCCCCCCCCACTCAATCTTTATTACCCAGACAGGAAAGTGTGAGGAGTCTATTCTTAGTCCCTTGCCCCAAAAACAATCTTAATTCACAAGTCACGTGCCCTTGACTCCTCAGCGCTCACCTTTTAATAACAACTTGCCACCAAATTGCAGCGCATAAACAGCACCAGTCACACACCAGACACGACCTCAACAGTGAATTGGCAACAAGCAACTCAAACTCTCCATCCGACACCACATTTGAGAATATGCGAATTGTGAAAAGGTGAACCCAAAGAAACCCATCCAAGACATGGTCTGGTACCCTGCAGAGTCGTTTATTTTTTACATAAAGCACTTTGCATTCACTGGAGAATTTTGGAAACATTATCAAAGTACAGTATTACATACTTAATCAAGTTATGGTTGTGATCATGTGGTGAGGGGTTAGGAGGAGACGCAATCCCAAAACAAACATCTCTTGTAGGTGTGTACCTTGGCTGCGTGCCTCGGGCAATCCCTCACATTCAGCTTAAGTTTACATTAAAAAAGGCCCTTTTTAAAAATCGAATTTTACTATGTCAATGCGGGCGTCACTGGAGTGCAATGACAGTGCCCAACCATTAACCATGCCTCAAATTGCATGGGACAGGGTGGGCCAAGCAGCCTGGGTACAACATTGTTCAGTCGGGCTGGCGGGATTGCACCTCCTCACATTGATTTGCAAACAAAAGGGCTGCGAGAACGTCACCCTTGGGGACACCAACCTGTGGGCAGAGCCATTGGGGCTCAGCTCTGTCCACCCTGCGAGCCAGACACAACACCACAACCCAAACAACCAACACCGCCTTGCGGACTTCCCAGTTCACCCACGCAGAGCCTCCCTGCATCTTCGTGCCCGCGACGTTTTTCGGACGTCGCTGCGCTGCCACCGCCACTCGGCTGCGCTACTGCTGCTTCCAGTGGTGCTGATCCTGGCGAGACAGCTCCAGCAGGACGGCCTCCAGCTGCTCCCCATCCTTGGCAAAGCGCTCGGTGAAGGAGTGAACGAGGCCCGCAGCACTGCCCTCGTACTCAGTGACGACCACCTCCTCGTCTGCACGTGCCACACGCGGAGACAAAGATCCTCGCCTTTAGCTTTTCGAAGAATTGTCGGGCCTGGAGCTGTTAGCACCTATTAAAGCCAGGAAAAACACGAGGGGTGTCTTGTGGCCAGCACCACGCTCGATCACATTCATCTCCACAGTGCTTATGTTTAGACACTGCACCAGGTACTCATTCAAGTCCAAGTTGACCTAGGAGAGGCCCAGGACCAGTTCACTTTGTCCGATTCTAGCAATTGGCAGGATTAACACACGATATGGACATACAATGAGCTCTCAATTAGCCTTAGAAATTGTTGGGGCAAAAGCTGTTGGCCAGTACCCGTTAACTATCGCAAGCATGGCACACACAAGGGTTGTGGTCAAAACCATCCGCGACCACTTGTATTCTCCCCCCCCCCCCCCCCCCCACTGCTGACGCTTTGATGCAGCCCCAAGCAAAACGCTAAAACGCCCACACACGGGACAATCGCGTTCGACACCAAGACAATGCGCGGCTCGTTCAGCCTGAAGGACTCATTTGGGCTGGGGAAGGAAGACGCTGCTGCCCATGGTCTCGGCTGTAAACAAACATCAAGAAACCGTTAAATTGTAGCCGCAAATGTTCCCACGGAGTTGCTCGATCAGGGGAACTTACATCATCATAACGTTACGTCTGGAAAATCACTGGAAGCAAATTAAAGCCGAAGGTCAAATGGACACGGGTCGGGCGGAGGGAGAGGCTTCACGCACGACCTGCACTTGATAGCTTTGCCATTTGAGCTGCGGCGTTCTCTCGGTCCGGTGAATTGCACCCACGGTTCGACAAGCGAAGCAATTTATTCGGTGGCTACGCAAAAAAAATTCCAACACCGGTTATGAAAACTCCTCTAGTACGTCTGTCAGAATCAACAGAATGCAACTTCACTTGCCTGCAGCCCATCCCGACAATCAATGATTTGTAAAAACACCGCAGGCTCGTTTACAGGTTTTCCAGATACACGGCATATCCCCGGTGGCTTTTCCCCGTTCTCAGAGAACATCGCTCAGAATTTGAGCGGCGAAGCCACCCAGTGCCCGAGCAGCGGAGGGCGAGGGTGAAATTGGAGATGTGAGTTATCAGCGCTGGAGATGAGATGTGCTGGCGGCAATGGGGAAGGGTTTTTTGTTCTTTTTATTTATTTATTTGGAAGAGGGAGGGGGGGGCAGGGCAAAAAATCCGATACACATGATGTAATTTATAGTGGAAACCAGAGTTTGGAAGAGGTCATATTACCAATTTTTCATTAGCCGGTACCAATGATTTATCTTTGCCGACACGGGCAAATGTGGCAGGCGGGCGCCATAGGCGTCGAGCCGGTCGACGTCTGCATGTACGCGCGCGTCCACACGCGAGCACCTAAGCATTCCGCACAGACAGGCGTGCACCTAACCCCTGGCCGGGATGAAAGGGGGGGGGGGGTAGCGTGAGAACGCGGCGTAATTAACAGAATCTCAGATTTCCACGCCATCCGTCAATGCCACGGCAAATTCCACTCGGCGTTCCGGATATTCCCAACGTCGTCACGGCGCACCGTCATTTAACACAGACAACGCTCAGCCGCACGAACGCCACGAAAAAACGACAGGTGACCGGCGGTAACGGGGCCGCACTTCATCCACCCATGACGCGCATCGCCCGTCCGCTTGCTCTCGCTGGCCGGTGGCCAACATCAATTAACCGACGCAGCAACGCGTTCAAGCAAGGGACATCGCATTGTAGCGAAGGATCACGGAGGGGGGGGGGGGGGGAGCATCCAAATTCAATTTCCTGCTCTCATCCGAGAAGGGCTTATTCCCCCATCGCTCGGCAGCAACGGCCGACCCTGCCCGACCCCGCGGAGGCCCAGCCCGCCCGCCCCACTTACACCGTCGCCCCCCCCCGCTTGACAGAGCACGACGGCGAACCTCGCACAGCCGCGGCCCGTCAACAACAAGCCGTCAGCCGGGCCGTCAACCCAGCCACCCGCGAGCCACCCCGAGACGGCGGCAGCGCCGGGCGCCCGTTTCCCTGCGTCGCCTCCACGGTTTCAAAACATCCCCACGGGGGAAGGGGGGCGTGGGGGATGATTGCCACCCCCCTCCCCCACCACTCGCTCGGCCCCCCCGCTCCCCTCCCCCAGGCTCGGCCAGGCCAAGGCGGGGAGGCGGAAGCAAGCGGATGCGCTGGCGACTTCGTGTAATCAAACCCGAACGCCCCAGAGACTGCTTGCCCCCGCCCCCCACCTAAATCCCACCTCCCCAACGTCCAGCGAGAGTTGCGGCGGTGGTCGCCGGCACGCAACGCGGCGGCCATCGTAGCGCTCCGTGCCCCGGCACCGCGAGCGTTCTGGGGCTTCTGCGCTGGAGGCGAGGGTTGGCAGTGGTGGGCGTCGCGTCGCGTAGATTCCCACCGAGCGCTCTCGACATCCGGTTTGGGCCGAGGTTGGCGAGAGATGGCAGCACAGCCAGTCTGTGCGGACCACCGTCCACACCCGCGCTTGGTGGCTGGGGGGCGGATTGGCGCCGCGGCTTGTCGTTCGCTGTGATCCGGTGGCGTCAAAACTCCAAACATGAATGAGGCGGCAGCAGCAGCAGCTCCCGAGTGAGTCACCACTCAACCGGGGAGAGATCAACAGCGCACGCTTGTCACTGCTCAGATGAAGGGGGAGGTTTCTTTCTTTACAAACCAGTTCACAAAATAACAAAAATAAAGCTCTCTTTTAAAGTTTAGATGGAAACTTCAAAAGGGGGTAACATTTCCCACCACTACACAATGTACTGTTGGGTAAATAAAATGTCAAGCCAAGTTTATCAAATTGAGGAAGTATGAGAGGATGGGGCAAGCTATTGTGCTCAATTAACAATAGGTTAAAAATACCCAATAATTTTCTTGTTGCAGAGGAAACAAAAAATGGTGTTTCACCTGTTAACAACGATACTCTAAGTCCATGACCGTGGTCCTATCGTCACTTGCTCGGAAAACCGAGAGACTCGAAACGCATCGAGATGCATGGAGGCGTCCGTGTGTGCGCGCACAGTTCACCGTTGCAGGCGGCGGCGTCAAACCGCGCCGAAAAACTGGGCGACTTAATGAAATTAAAAGCCCCACACAAACAGGCCGGAGCCGATTACGCTCTGCGCGGCTGTTGGCGAGGTCTCAGCTGCCACGTCCGCCTCCTAAATGAGGTTAGCGAAAGCACTCGGCTGGACAAAACGTGCCACGGGTAATCGCGGAGGGCTCCTCTCTTCCACCCACGGTCACAGCGACGGCGGCTCGCCACAACAACAGTGTACACGGAGCAGTCGCGTGACCTCCCTCTCTCGGCGAGGAAGGGTCTATGACCACCGTCAGGTAATAAACACACAACACCACTCGCATGACCATCTTTCCCTTTCACGTCATCATTTACACCCCCCCGTCTATGCGTCACCGCTTGCATCCGCACTTGGGCATCGCCGCTCAACATCAGCAGGTCGACCACACGCCCCTCCGCACCCATCTCCGCTCGAGCGCCAGACCTCCGTACGATTCTCCTTCAAAATCGCCTCGTTGGCTGCTGCACGCTGAAGCACGAACGAAACCAGCCCCTGAAACAAACTCAAGGGTCGACGTGCAACACCCCACGGCAAAAACCTCCCAGGGAACCCCACAGCAAGCGCAGGAAGAGGAGAGGTGAGCGCACTCAGAGGGCTCGTGGCGGTGGGACGAGGCCTCACGGTAGCCCATTCCGTGCTTGCGGTGGAGGTTCAAGGGTCGAATCGCGGGCCCGCCCTGATTATCAGTGCTAATTATCAGTGCTGATTATCAGTGCTGATGCATCAACCGGGATAAAAAAAAAACACGCCAGATGGTTCAGTGGGCACATTCGAAAATCGCCTGCAAGTTAAATTTCTTGTAATTATACAGAGCAGGTATCGCCCCCCTCCCCATCTCTTGAAAGACCACAGAAGCTTGGGAAATTGTTCGTAGCGCAGGTTGTGCCTGGCTATCTTCCGGCTTTGCACTTGGTTTCCCGCGCCTCCGGTCGAAAACTACGCATGTTGTACACATTGTGAGAACGCCGCGAGATGCAACGTGCACAAATGACTCCGCTAGGTAAATTAACGCGGCCCCGCCGTGCCGCGTGGCACCAACGGGTGCCACACGGTCCGGCAGACAACCGCACACACACCACGGATTAAACGGTTAGAACACCGTTTAATCCGAGCCCTGACCCCTTCTTCACTGCTTTCGTGCCATCGCCCCCACGAGCGTTCTCGCGCCCCCGCCCCGGGGAGGAGGATTAAGACCGACGAGCGCCCGCGGGGTTTGGAAGCGCTCGCCGCCGTAATCCCGCGATGGCCTCGCAGCAGCTACAGACTCGCACCCCCCCCCACCCCCTCCCAGAGTTAAAAAAAAATTGATGACCCCCCCCCCCCTTTCCCCCCGCTGAGCTGGAGGGCTCACGTGGAGGGAACAGCCGGGGGCACGTGTCACTAACCGGCGGGGGGGGTGGTGGTTTCGGCACATTGTCCTGCCGTCAGCTGGCGGCCGCTGGGATTCGCGCCGCTCGCTCGTGGCAGCTGCGAGGGCCACGCGCGCGGTAATTGCCGTGGCGTGGAAATTTGGCCATTTGTGAGCGCGAGAGGCAGCGGTGGGCGTGTGGGGGAAGGGGGGGTACAGAGTCCCTCAGTCGTCCAAAGCCGGGGGTCAAATCCAGAACGCGACGGCGCGCCAGCCACCAGTCTAGCGATGCGTGAGGAAATGGACGGGGGGGGGGAGAACGTAGCGATCCATTTCAGAAAAATTAAATCGCCAGCGATGTCATCGTCACCGAGCTCGTGATGATGTTCGTAACAACATGGACGATGCCGAGGAGCAGTGGGGTCTGGGTAATTTCCTCAATTGTAACTTCTCTCAAATCGTCTCTGCTGTACATCGGTGCAGAGGACGAAGCCACTTCATCAGACGCAAAACCCGGCACTTCGCCCGGCCTCCAGAAAATGGCAACTC